AGGAATATCCTTTTGGATCTGTCTTCTGGAACATCATCTAATTGTTCTTTGAAGCCAGCAGAAGCTCAAACGTTTGGTTAAGAAGCTTCAGAGCAGTTGTGTTTCCTTTAAGCTAGCCAGGTTAGATTCTCACCGTAAGTCTGCAGGAGCACAGAGGCACATCTGTAATCTGCAGAGCTGCTGGTGGACCTGTGTCCGTTCAGTCCTAGGGTTTGTAATGCAGTGGCCTCGAAAACTGGAATAATTTATTCTGATGGTCAAGCTGGGGTTAGTGGTGAAATGGCTCCTGGAAAAAATAAGTTTTACAAGACAAATGTGAGTCATGGGCAGGCTGGTTTGTTGCTCAGGTACATACTGTGAGTAATTTTCTTCTTTGCCTAGGCCTTGTATGAACTGGTTAAATGCAACTTCAATGCAGAAGAGGCACTGCGGAGGTTACGGTTCAATGTGAAGGTTATCCGAGGTGAGAACCCCCCATATTTTAGCTCTACCCCAGACATCAAGGCACACCTAACTCTTCCTGCATTCTGTACGTTGCCTCCGATTCCTCTTTCTTTCTGCTGCAGATGAGCTTTGTGCCTGGAGTGAGGAGGAATGTAGAAATTTTGAACATGGCTTCAGAGTCCATGGGAAGAACTTTCATCTTATCCAAGCGAACAAGGTAAGGGTGCTCACCTCTGCACCCTGCTGAGACGGAGGGAAGGAGGATTCACACCAGAGGGGTGTGCGGAGCCTCGGCCAGGGCAGGGAGCTGAGGACTGATGAGTTCTGATCCCAGGCTGTGTGTTGGCTCATGCTAGCAGGTGACGGGCTGTTCACTGCCCTGCTCTGCCTTATTTTCCAGGTGGGAGAAGTCACAAACAACACTGACCTGCATGAGTGATGTCAGTTAATTACTGATTAGCCCTTTCTGAAGTCTCAAAAGTTCTTTCCAAACTCTCAGCCCTTGCAGTACTTCTGTGAATGAGTGAGTTGAGCATGTGGATGTTTTGTAAAGTCCCCTGGGGTCCTCTAGAGTGAAAGATGCTGCTGTAGGGAGAGCTGGGCCCCAGGACATACTCTGCTGTGCTGGGAGTTGGCAGAACCAGAGAGTCCAGTTTTACGGCTGGTTAATCATGGGCATGTTGACGCTGGCCAGTGAAAATGGATGCAGGTTTGCTGTCTTGATGTTAAGTGTACTCCTGGAAGTGCAGGAAAGTCCTGCATGAATGTTCCATGTGTGAGCCCACCCCAGGGTCTGCAGGAACAATAGTGCACCGTGAGGAGTTCTTTCTCTGGCCGATTGCCACCTTGGAAGTCTCAGTACGTGCTTCTGTTCCGCAGCGTAGATGCGTCCGTAGCAATAGAAATCACTGTCACGCACTTGATTTCTTGTGCTGATTAAATGGGAGAATGGTCGTTGCTCCATGAGACACATCTTGGAACGTGCTGTTCTTACGACCGTGTCTCTCCTCAGGTCCGCACCCGGTCAGTGGGCGAGTGTGTGGAGTACTACTACGTATGGAAAAAATCGGAGCGCTACGACTACTTCACTCAGCAGACTCGTTTAGGAAGGAAGAAGTACGTCCTCCACCCTGGAGCCACGTGCGTGGAATATTCTCACACTAAAATTAGTAATACTAACCTCCCAGTGAAGAGTCCTGCTGCAAAGCACCTCTGCTTAAAAGGCTGCGCTTTCTTCTCTAGAAGGTTTCTTGGGTGGGAGCAGAGAGGGATGCATTGGGTATTGTCAGAACATAAACACTCCTGAGTGTGGGGAGGGAAGATAAAGGAATTACTTGCTTCGCTGTGGGCTTTCTTGTGTCAGAAAATACTGTTTTGTTTCAAACAACTGCATCCCCAAAAATTAAGGCTAGGGTCAGGGATTCAGGACTGCTCTTGGGAAATAACTTGCTTCAGTGAGGTTTTGGGAAGGGAGCTTCTTAAGTTCAAAAATACATTATTTCTGGTGTTTTGGAACCTGAATTATTTTCTTTCCCTGCTGCCATCCTTTGAGGAAAATTCCTCACTTGGAAATGTGTACTAATTACCGAAAATACTTTTCAAAAATTTAAAAGTGAAAAAGGTAAAAATGAAATATATAAGATTAATTAATTGAAAACATTGGATGACGTCTTAGATTATTTTTATTATTATTACGATGCAAGACAGGAAAATACCTGAAATGTCAAATCCCTCTAGGGTGGGAAAACATGCTTTTTGCTGGCACACCAACATTGTCACAACCCGCTGCAGTTGTTCTGTGAAGCTGGCTGTTCCCTGGGGAGAGCATTCGACCACTTCTTTTCCCTGGGAAGGGGCTGAGGCTCAGGGGGCGGCGGGGCACAGCTCTGGTTCGGAGCGCTGCGGAGCCCGCCTGGGTTTGTTGGGCTGGTCTCAGCCATGCTGAGTTAGCTACAGCCACCTCAGCGCCGAGTCTGAACTGCGCTCTGCAGACCAAGGAGGGGATGGACTTGTGGTCTCTTGAGGTCTCTAGAGTCCTGTTGCTTCTTTTGTTGCTGGGCTTTAATCCCAGCCAGTTTTCCCTGCCTGCATCTCTCTGCACAGCAGGCGGTGGCAGCGTGATAGAACAAGAGGGAATGGCTTCAAACTGCAACAGGGCAGGGGTAGGCTGGACAGTAGGAAATTTTTTTTCACAGCAAGAGTAGTCAAACATTGGCACAGGCCGCCCAGGGAGGTGGTCGCGTCCCCATCCCTGGAGGTGTTTAAAGGTCGTTGAGATGTGGGGCTGGGGGAGATGGTTTAGGGGTGAGATTTGTAGAGCAGGGTTGGTGGTGGAACTCGATGATCCCAAGGATCTTTTCCAACCTGAACGATTCTATGATTCTCTGTCTTTCCCCACAGGGACTACACTGACAATGACTTGGATGGGGGGGAAGTAGAAAACACGAGTCGTTCTCGGAGCTCCCCACCAATTCCCTCTGCAGCTGCCTGCCTGGATTCTCACTTCGGTCAAGATCAGATAGCCATAGAGAGCACAGGTAACTTCCTTTTCCTCTGCCTGCTGTGGGGATAACTCATTTCCCTCGCTCAGCGGCACGGACCCTCCTTTGCCTTTCCCTGGTTGCCGTTGTCCAGCTGTTGCCCAGCTGTTTCTCTTCTGCCTGTACCTTGCTTGCTGTGCCCTGAGTGAGGTACCAGCCCTGGGCAGGCTTTGGTGTGAGCGAAGGAGACTTGTCTGTCTCTATGTTGGCCAGTAGTGACTTAGAAAGACTTGTACCTTTGTGTCAGCACCTCCCAGGGACTGTTGGCACGAGGGGATAGGACTTAGGATTTGGCTTATCTTGGAGTATCTCTGTGAGATTCCCTTTAATTTCCACAGAAACACTGATGGCCTCCCATCTGCTGTCTGCATCTTGCCTTTCTTTGTTCGTGCTGGCAGAGATCTTGGTTGCTATAATAAGGAAACACTTGTGCCATCGAACAAATACTGTTGTGATTAGGTGGGATTGAACTGGTTTCTGGGGTTTTGTCTGTTATGGACTCACTTTATCTTTCTGTCACTTGCTGTCCCCCACCCTTTCTTCCTCCCTGTCCGTCCATCCCCCACGTTTCCCTCCCTGTGCTGTGCAGAGCCCCTGAGCGTGGAGAGCACAGCCTGCAGCCTGGGCAGCATAAGCGAGTCGGGGCAGGGCTACGAGTGCAGCACTCCTTCGGAGACGAATTGTTCCTTCGACCCCACGGAGGAGACGTCATCAGGTGCCATCTCGGCTTCCTGCACGCAACATGCTGTCACCCCCTTGGAACCGGGGCTCCATGCTCTGCCGCCAGCAAGACCAGGACTAGCAGAGAAGCCGGAGACGTTGCAGAGCTCCGGTGAGACGATAAACATGGACTTCACTCTCCCTGCAGACATTAACGAGGGTTTGCCTTTAATTGCTGGCCCTGTGGATTTGGACAGAGACCCAGAGACAGTGGTGGCCCCTGCGCAAGTGTCCTTATCGGTCACAGATTTTGGCCTCATTGGCATCGGAGATGTAAATAGTTTTCTGACTGCTCATCAGGCTTGCCCAGCACCTGTGGCTCGGTCAGAGCCTTTGTCGCAGTGAGAGTCTCCAGTCACAAACTTGTCACAGACCCAGCAAGGACTTTGACCTGACTGAGTGAAATCCTGGAACTTCCACTGTTCCGCAGGGACAGTTTGGAGCTGTTGGTCAGAATCCGTCTTTCCATCCTCCTTGATCCAAGGCTACAGTGAAACCAAACACCTTTCTGCTCCAGTGTGTTCTGACACAACCACACAAAGCTGGTGGCTGGCTTTAGTGAGGGGGGAGGTCCATTGCCCTGGTTTCATTGATCATGTGTCACCGCAGGTAATTCCAGGCTGTTCGAAAGATCCGTGCCTTGGGACAGGGGAAGTGTTCCTTGGCCCCCGTGGGACAGCCTGAGTGCAGAGATGCTCTAGAACAGAGACGTGTCACCAGCACCTTGGGGGCTGGGATAGAAGACGCAGTCTGGAGGTCTGAGAGCTGAGGGAACACGCAGGGAGCACAGAGTCCCCCGGCCGCGGGACAGAGCCTGCAGAGCCGGGCACGGTGAGGCCACGGGAAGATGAGGAGTCTTGGCCCTCTACCCACAGATAGAGCGTGGCCACAGAAGGCGTCCTCTCCGTTCCTCTCCCAGCAGCTCTCCCACGCTCCCAAGCTGGGTCCTGACACTGCTGGTCTCAAATCTCTCCTGCCCGCTCTACCCGCTGCGGGCGGGATGTGGCCTGGTCCAGCCCTTGGGCAGAAGCGTCGGGTCTTGGAAGGGATGCGGTGATGAAGTAGCGCTGTGTGATGCAGTAGCACTGAGTGCACTTGAGTCCTTCTCACCTTCTCTTGCAGTGCTGGGCCACGGAGATCTTGTACTGGGAGTAAAAGGGGTTTCTAGACCCACAAAGTGCCGTCGGCCCCGGAGTTGAGCAGTGCTGCCGCTTCCACCGCTGGCGGTGAATGATCCTTGCTGACCGCTGCAGTACCAGAGGGTAAAATGCACATGTAAACATCCGTAACTTCCTCGCTTGTCCAAACAATCCGTCAGCCGTGGGAAGAGAAGGTTTCTTAGCTCCCAGGGCACAGCACCCTAGGCAGGGGAGCGCGTCGGTCCTGGGCATCCCTGCCCCTTTCTGCTCACAACAAAAGTTCTGTGTTTTCTGAGAGGAAAGTATGTCTTCACTGCCATTAGCAGCGTTCTAGGTGACAAGGGTGGCCCTGTGTGCCAGCGAGGTGGCCGCTGCTGTGCAGAGAGACACAGTGGCGTGTCTGTGGTTGTGCTGGAGCCCAGAGCAGCTTCACTTCCCGGGTGTGTTCCAGGTTTGGAGTTTGCCACTGGCTTAAATCCACATTTTCCCATTCCCCTTTTTTTCCATGCAGGGAATGCTGTCTGCTGACTTGCTAGACAAGGCTCTGATGTTCCTTTCCTGCAGCCCTTCCCTGCATTTGAGAAGGGGTTTGGGTTGAAGTTTTATGCTGGTTTTGGTAGAGGCCATTGGGCCGTGATCCTGCAGTTGGATTTGCTGCCCGTGGATCTGGAAGATGACTGAAACCACGAGCCCACGTCCTCCTTTTACCTGGTCCTGCAAAGTTGTGCTCAGCCGTGCAGCGGGAGCACGGAGGCACCATCAGGGAGCTGCACAGGGTGACAGGATCAGGCCTTGTCTTTCCTCTTACAAGCCCCAGACCTGCTCTGCGTGCACTAACAAGGGTTTGCTTCGGTCCCTGGCCAGCTCTGCTGAGGGGTGCTGAGCTCCAGGCACACGCAGCTGCCTTGGCCAGGCACCGCTTTGTCCACCAGACGTGGTAGCTGGAGGTCTCCCCTCTGGCTGCTCCCAGCTGCTGGAAACAGAAAGCAAATACGAGTGCCCGCTCCATAGTGGAAGTGCCCAGGCTGTGATTCCCCTTTTCTGGGGGAGAGAGGGAGCTCCTTGGCTGAGAGGAGAAGAGGAGGCAGGGCGAGAACAGGAGCAGCCCTCCCAGGGAGGGCCGGGCCTTGGTGTCTCCTCTCCATCAGCCAAGAACATTCTTAGTTTTCCCGAAACCATTTTTACTTTGGTTTGTTTCAAGCCCTAATGGAAGGAGAGGGGAGGCTGGGGGGAGGCAGAAATCTCTCTTATTTATGTTCTTCAGTGTTGTTTACAGATTCGCATGGGGTCTTTCAACATGAGTGCAGCGCTTTTTCCACAGAACTTTAAGGGAGAGGGGTGCAAAGGGCTGGGACAGGGAGGGGGAGTCACTTGGGGAGGAGGTTTGGCTTTGGTTTTTTGTTGGGGTTTTCTTTTTCCTTCTTACAAAGCACATTCACTTTGAGCCGCTCCCAATGC